AGGACGAAGGTTCTAAAGATATCCTTGTTATTTCTATTTCATATTGACATATTGGAGACATCAAATCAGGTAGAGAGGAAAAATGCGAGGGTCATTTTTTGAAGAATTAAACTTAGTTTGCCTAGAGTGCAAAATGGTTATTTTTCATTGCTCATGAGTTTGACTCCAGCTCTTCAGTTAACTTCATCCCTTTCAATCATATTTCAATGGATTCAGATGTTGAAGAACTGTTCAACGAGCATAAAGATCAATTTTCTCCGATATGAGCAGTCGAGTCAGTGCAAAACTTTGAGGGACATCAGCATAAGTTATGCATCTGCAGCGGCAGGCAAAGGTAGATGCTTGAAGATGTATTCTCCTTTGAGACATTAAGCAATTTAATTTTCATCAAATTGACTGTAATGTTTAACTCAAGTAAATATGCATTTCATGAACCCCTCATAGGGTTCCTCCTGCTTGTAGATTGCCACTAATAACCGATACCCTCCGATTTCTTGTATAGAGATGAGATATGATAAACAGCACAGAAAATAGATCAGTGCTTCATGTAGCTCTTCATTCTCCAAGGGATGCAGTCTTTGTTTACAATTTAGTGTGAGTTTCCTTGTGAAAATGATGGGCTTCGGAGAACTTTAATTAAGGCACCCAAATGAAAATAAGTAATATATATATATATATATATATTGAAATATAGGAGATATTAAGGCTAATAAGATATTACTTAATTACATATATTAAATTAAAGAGGGTAGCCAAAAAAAACAGATTAAAGAAACTAATTTTATATTTCAAAAATTAAGAATTTAAATAAAATAAACATAACACCTTTCCTGACGAAATTTCGTCGGCACAGACCTATGCCGGCAAACGGTTGTCGGATAAGGTTTTTCGCGACGAATAAATCTGTGCCGACGAAATATCGTCGGGAGAGGGCTGTTGACCTGCACCGACGAAAGTTTGTCGGGAAAGGTCCTTTTTCAAAAAATAAATCTAAAATTAGGATATTTGGGTTAATTAATTTTTTTAAAAGTTTATTGTTAATAATTAAATAATATATTTGCTTTATCTAACTAGTTAAGTTAGTAATTATATTTTAATTATTATTCATTTAGTGAATACTTAGTATTACATTTTTTAATTAACTTCATGAATTATGTTACTTAATAAATAGTAATTCAATCTTTCTTGTTTCTTTTTTCTTTTTTCCTTTAACATTCACTAAGTAAAACCTAACTACTAATCAAAGTGATTAAAAAAGAGAGATACATATTAAAGGGTATAGCCGGGCGGCTATACTTTGAAGATATTCTATTTATGCACTATAGCCGCGCGGCTATACGCTTTTAATATATACACCAACAATAAAAATATAAATATGGATTTCTCTTTAGGCTTAGCTTTTGAGGTGCCTTTTGTGAACGCCCTACATCGAAAATCCACTCCTACAGAGGTCTTTATAAACAAAGCACTATGATGGTTTGCTGGAAGCGGCTTGACCTAAAAAACGTTGTTTTCTGCTGTAAAATTGGATTACATCTTCCAATGTAACAACACAGACAGGTTTTCCTTACATTTTCTTAATGTCATGCAAACTAAACTTCAGTTTTGAACATAGGAGACAGTAAGTGATGGGGAGGACTCATTTAAAATGTTTAATATTAGATGGAAAGCAGTGTTACAGTAGCAATATAGTATGGAGAGTGGTGTTCAAGTAAATATAACAAGCAACAATATTAAAATGTTTAATATTAGATGTGTTTGTTTTTGTTTTAATTATTAACTTCAGGGTCCAGGGTTCGAGTCACAGAGAGGGCACACTTGGGGTATTTTTTTAATATTTTTTTATTTTTAAGTGTTTTCACCTGTTAATCTTACTTTGATGCTTTTGTCATTAAATTAGCTTGGCTATAGGCTCGGCTTTGGATTTGGCGCTGATTAATAATAATTATATTAATCAAAGACTTGGGCCTTGGGGCTCTTGGGCTTTGGAGAACTTTAATTAAGGCACCCAAATGAAAATAAGTAATATATATTGTTGAAATATAGGAGATATTAAGGCTAATAAGATATTACTTAATTACATATATTAAATTAAAGAGGTTAGCCAAAAAAAAAAAGATTAAAAAAACTAATTTTATATTTCAAAAATTAAGAATTTAAATAAAATAAACATAACACCTTTCCTGACGAAATTTCGTCGGCACAGACCTATGCCGGCAAACGGTTGTCGGATAAGGTTTTTCGCGACGAATAAATCTCTGCCGACGAAATTTCATCGGGAGAGGTCTGTTGACCTGCGCCGACGAAATTTTGTCGGGAAAGGTCCTTTTTCAAAAAAATAAATCTAAACTTAGGATATTTGGGTTAATTAATTTTTTAAAAATTTTATTGTTAGTTTTCTTGTTTCTTTTTTCTTTTTTTCCTTTAATATTCACTAAGTAAAGCCTAACTACTAATCAAAGTGATTCAAAAAGAGAGATACATATTAAAGGGTATAGCCGCGCGGCTATACGCTTTTAATATATACACCAACATTAAAAATATAAATATGGATTTCTCTGTAGGCTTAGCTTTTGAGGTGCCTTTTGTGAACACCCCACATCGAAAATCCACTCCTACAGAGGTCTTTATAAACAAAGCACTATGATGGTTTGCTGGAAGCGGCTTGAGTCCTGCAGACCCCTAAAAAATGATGTTTTCTGCTGTAAAATTGTATTACATCTTCCAATGTAACAACACAGACAGGTTTTCCTTACATTTTCTTAATGTCATGCAAACTAAACTTCAGTTTTGAACATAGAAGACAGTAAGTGATGGGGGGGACTCATTTAAAATGTTTAATATTAGATGGAAAGCAATGTTACAGTAGCAATATAGTATGGAGAGTGGTGTTCAAGTAAATATAACGAGCAACAATATTAAAATGTTTAATATTAGATGGGCTGGTTTTTGTAAAGAAACTAATTTTATATTTCAAAAATTAAAATATGATTGAAGACTTCTTGATTCAATCAATTCCAATTGGAACTTTAATGGAATACATCTAGTAAACCTATAAACTGATAAGTAAATGCAAAGAAGAATGAACCAGCCTAGCAACTAGGAATCGATACCAAGTGTTGGCAGAGCAATAATCTAAAAGATAATTCAGGAGTAGTCGACTGGATATCTTGAAACAAGGAAAATTGATTGATTTCAACGAGATCAAGTATTAATCAAGTAAGTGTGAAGTCAGTTTATGAGAGAAAGCTGTGTTGATTGTCCGTCCTTTGAGCTTTGGGTTTGCCTTTATTTATAGGCTATTTATAGGCTATAGCCCAAGTTAACATGTTCATGGGACCGTGCCTGTGGTTGATTATGTCTTAGTATTTTCTTTGTGGTTTAAACTGGTAAACCAATACATTGATTTCTACACTGTCGATAGTGGCTTGTCCAAACATGGCCTTTTCTCCTACGAGTTGGCGTAGTATAGCTTCATGGTTCAGTCCAAAATTTGTAGTAAGCAAACAATGATTGAAAAGTCCAAATCCAAATAAAAAATCCAACTAGAATCTATTGTTAGAAAAATAAGATAATAAGATAATCTGTACACTGTTACCATTGGGTCAGAAGGGTCATATGACCCTCCTAGGCCTTAATTGGCTCCGCCCTTGAATCAAGTGTGAAGTCAGTTTATGAGAGAAAGCTGTGTTGATTGTCCGTCCTTTGAGCTTTGGGTTTGCCTTTATTTATAGGCTATTTATAGGCTATAGCCCAAGTTAACATGTTCATGGGACCGTGCCTGTGGTTGATTATGTCTTAGTATTTTCTTTGTGGTTTAAACTGGTAAACCAATACATTGATTTCTACACTGTCGATAGTGGCTTGTCCAAACATGGCCTTTTCTCCTACGAGTTGGCGTAGTATAGCTTCATGGTTCAGTCCAAAATTTGTAGTAAGCAAACAATGATTGAAAAGTCCAAATCCAAATAAAAAATCCAACTAGAATCTATTGTTAGAAAAATAAGATAAAATAAAGGAAAGAGAGGGAAAGACAGCAGCACTCAAGAGGAGTTAGAATGTAATAATACTAAACTCATTTTATTGAATCTATCAACTATAAATAATAATAATACTAGCTCAGCAACCTCAGCCTTATCTTAAATATGAAATGGCTTTAAATGAATGAGGAAAAGTGGAGTAGAATTGGGCTGAAGTTGAAATTTGAAATCTCATATTGCTAAAGCATTTTGCTTAAGAATTTAAAGGACAGAATTATAAATTCATGGAGAGAGTTGTGAGCATTGAACGCTTAATCATAAATATGTGTACGGATTTTGAACCCTAAATCCAAATCTAAAACTCTACACCTAAATTATGGATCACGAATACAACCTTCATATTTGAATTTGACTTGGACTAGACTCCAGATCCTAAATTCTGAATTCTCATTACACAAGCAGCCAGGGCAGGCCCACAATGTGTGTGGATTGGGTGACGATACAGGGCCCTAAAAAAATGGGGCCTCTTATAAAACCCTATAACTAAAGAGTTATAGTAGCAAAAAAGACCTTTTATATGTGTAATTGATGCTTTTTGGGCTTTATTCTAAAAAAAATTGGGTCTTTTTCTTTACTTTTCATATAGTGGATCTCTTTTACGTAAACTAACAAACTTAGCACTTAAGTTTGAAACTTTTTATTTTAATTTTTGTTAAAAATAAAGTAAGTGTTGATTAGAATCTCAATTTTTATTTCTACCCGGAACCTCCTAAATCAATGGACCGGCCATGTAAGTAGCGTAAATTTTCCTTTGCATGAACTGAAAAAAGAATTTGTTTTCTTGGTAAGAAAAAAGAATCGGATCCTGACCCATTCTTCATTTGTTCAGATCGTTGGCTGGGCCTAAGACAGGAGATAATATGTTTGGGCCTATACATTTAATTCTCAGAATCCTGTCCATCCAATTAGACATAAACCGGATAAAGCGGCCCGACCTATGTTTCACTTTTGAAGTCCTGATGAAACGAAACCATGGCTCAGAATCACGTTTTCTTGGGTCAGCAGTTCAAAAACGTATGAAAGAAACCGGAGGTTTTATTGAAGGAGACAGAAACTTTACCGGCAGTGAGTTGCTCTCTCTCTTTCTGTCCCTCTGATAAACCCTAGTGAGCTGTAAGAGTCAGTAAAAGCATAAAAGAATGGCGGAAGCAGAAGGAGGATCAGATAAGGCGGGCGCATCGGTAGGAGGTGGAGTTGAGTCGCTGAAAGATAAAGGAAATGAGCATTTCAAAGCAGGGAACTATCTGAAAGCCGCTGCACTCTACACTCAGGCCATCAAGCAAGACCCTAACAACCCCACTCTTTATAGGTACATATATTTACCGCCTCAAAATTTATTGTTGTTTTATTTGTTGGTTTTCTAGTGTTAAATTTGACATGGGATCAAAATGCCATTTTTATTGGTTGGCGACACAGTTTACTTGACTTATTCACCTGGGTTCTTATTGAATTTGAATTATTTTGTTAATTATTTCGGTATGGACATGTTTTGTCATGAATTTATTAAGTAGGAATTTAAAGTTGTGTGCTTTCGTTTATGTAGAAAAACAGATGAACTTTTTCTATTGTTCACGTTGTTTATGTGTGTCCTTTTGAACGCTCCCAGGAGATAGTTGACATCTTCATTTCATAATTTGCACATTGCTTATTATGATGCCTAGGCTGCATGAGTATTCTTTTATCCTATTTTCTGCTCCACGGCTACGGCAGCATTTTGTAGCTTGTATGAACTTCTAAGTTACATGAGGTTCAGAGTTGATATACAAGCTTGTTTGTAATTTAGATTTAACCATGGTTATGGTATTCAGATGCAAAAAAAACAATTCCCTTTCCACCTTACCAGAAGAAATTCAGGCACTTTGGTAATATAGATTTATATTCTTTCTATATATATATTTTTTTGGTATAAATTTTTTAAGTGAACTAAGATGAGATGATGGTGGCTTCAACAGGCTGGAATAGATGCCCTATTTTGCCTGTACTTCGGTGGCATAAAAAAAATCTACATTCTGGAATATTTGAGCTAAGAAATGGTACTGTTTCCTTATAGAAGGTTAGATTTTGGCTTATTTGTGTGGAAAAGTATTCTGAGATCTTATGTAATTTGAAGTTTATAGAAGAAAGCAAGGCCATCAGGAATAAAAAGGGATATAACTGTATTAAAAAAACTTGTTGGGGCAAGAATAACTACTTTGGTACCACATTCGGGCTGTCAAAGTCTGATTATGGCCTTTTTATTTCCAAGTAATGGATTTGGATAAAACCTGCTCCATTATTTCAAATCCTATAGTTGGTGTCAGGGTCTGCAATGTACAATTCCTGCTTCAATTGCTACCGCATTCATATTCTTTTTAGCATTAATTAAAACAAAGGGCTGCTCTGTGAGAAAATGTAGAGAAAGCGTATGGTAGCTAGGACTGATTTGTGAATGGGTTGGTGCGCCTGCTGCTTTCCCAATTGCAGAATGATAATCAGTCAACTTTCTTTATGTATATTCTTCATTATTTTGTTTATATGCTAATATTGTTTCTCTTGCTCACTGGTATGTAAGGATGTTCATGCAAACATGGAAGGTTGTTCATAAAAAGTAACATAGTAGTAATAAACAATTACAATTTTCAAGGAACAAGCTGTCTTGGCTGAACTTTCCCATGTAACATTGTATGCATGCTGCACTGATTCATCTCCTTTCATTTTAATGTTCCATTGTTGGCCAGCAACCGTGCTGCGGCATTTTTGCAATTGGTTAAGCTTAGCAAAGCCCTTGCTGATGCAGAGACCACAATTAAATTAAACCCCCAGTGGGAAAAGGTACTGTTGTTTTATTTTTATTTAAAAAAATCCTTTTCTTCTCAACAAACTTTTACTTTTAGAAAGCAAAATATCTTGATTTTCATTATTTCTTCCTTTAAAAGAACCTTTTTGATGCATCTACAGGGATATTTCAGGAAAGGATGCATATTAGAGGCCATGGAACAATATGATGATGTATGTCTAGAAGTTCTTTCACTCTTCCCATTGTTGTTGAAGGCCTTTTGGACAAGACCACATGATTTTAGTTTTCTGCTACTGATATTTGTACTGTTCATCACATGTTGTAGGCTTTAGATGCTTTCCAAACAGCTTTGCAATATAACTCACAAAGCACAGAAGTATCAAGAAAGATAAAAAGGATTTCTCAGTTGGCGAGAGATAAAAAACGTGCTCAGGAGGTGGAGAAAATGAGATCCAATGTTGATATGGCAAGACAATTGGATAAACTGAAATCTGAAATGGTGAGTGTATTGGCCAATCAAGGATTCATGATTCTCTATGACTTTTGTTCCATATTATTCTGCATTTTATATGGCGTATATTATCTTTGTGCTTGAGTGAGAAATATAATCTCTCAGTCATTTTTCTACGTGATTCTTTGTTTGTATCTGCTTTTTCTTTCTTTGCCTGAATGGTGTGACTTGCAACTTTCATATATCAAGTTTCCTTAACTCCCCGAACTGTGTATGCAGGTAAGATATTACTCATTAATTTCTCAGCAGCTTATATAGAGACTTTAATGGATCACCTGCGCTTGGATTGTTTCAAATTTTAATCAGTCCTAATAAGAAGGATTAAGTCACTCTTTCTCTTTTGCAGTCTGGGAAGCGTGGATCTGAAGAATGTTGGGAAGACATGTTTTCTTTCCTTGTTGAGACAATGGAGACAGCTATAAAATCATGGCACGAAACTTCTAAAGTGGAGGCTAGAGTTTACTTTCTCCTAGATAAGGAAAAAACAGACACCGAGAAATATGCTCCAGCTGTGAATATTGATAAGGTATTAAATTTAGATCTTTCACTTTTCAAAATATCCCTTTTCTGATTGATTGACAAATAATTTCAATGTATTTGGTTCTATGACCCCTTCTTTGCTGTTGAGATAAAATGAGTTATTGCAACCTCATCAGATTATTACCTCATATTAAGTATATGTTTTTTGAGCCAGAAACCATTATTCTGAAATTGTTTTTACCTAATCAATGCTTACCCGTTATTCCAGGCCTTTGAATCACCCCATACGCATGGCAGTTGTTTTTCATTTCTTAGGCAGTATGCTGAGGACTCTTTCTCCAGAGCAGCTTGTTTGGTGACTCCCAAAAGTATCATGTCTTATCCACAGGTACATTTAACTTCAAGTTGTGTCTCACATGCCTAAGTCTCTGTATCCCTGCGTGCATTGTATTTGTTTGTGTTCAAGATTTGAGTTAATATTTGGAGGTTTGACCTCTGGCGTGGGTTCAAGACTTCAAGTCGTGCCTTGTGTGCTTAAAAGGCTTTTGCATGGTGCTTTTGGGCAGTTTAAGTAGTTATTATTGGTCTCTCTCAAAAAAAAGAAAAGGAAAATAGTCGATTGATCTGTTTCAGATTTCACTAGCTGTTACTGGTCCTCCAATGTGATAAATTCAACTTAAATTTGCAGATGATTTAAATTCAGGGCAGAGTGATGACTTATTGAATAAAAGGAATTTGTAGTTAACAAAGAGGTTTTAATCATCAAATACTTTTTGCAGGTTTGGAAAGGTCAGGGATCAAGGAAATGGAAACATGGGCAACATGATGGTTTCTTTGTTCAGTTTGAGACCCCTTTCCAGCGAAAGCTGTGGTTTATTCCTAGTTCTAGTGAACTAGGCCAGACATTGTGCAGGTCTCTCCCTCTCTCTCTCTCTCTCTCTTGCAATTTTAAGGGAGTGTCAATTTGTAACTATGGATGACTTTTTTAACTTGATTTTTAAAAGTACCAAGAATGCTTCATCAGTACTTAGGTTATATGTGATGATTACATTTCTTACCACCTTGAAGCTTTAGTTCTAATATTGTGTTCTCTCTTTAAAGTGCAAAGCCATAGAAATATGGTCCCTTTTGCTTTTAAGAGAATGAAGAAATGGAAACTTTGAAAGCATATGGATGTGGAAATACCAGTAGGAAGTGGGTTTTTATATGTTTTAATGTTTGTAAGATGCTGGAAGGAAAATTTCAGGCAAGCAGGCTCCGTGAGCTTGCTCACTTAATATTGTCTAAATAACCTATTATACAAGACCTTGCTGTGATCACAGCAACAATAGAGTTTTTTTATTTGGTATTATATTTCCTTTAGGAGCTAGGTAATCTAAATGTTTGTGCCTCATTCAGGGAACCAGAGGATTTAGACATCGGTGCCCACGAATTGATTCCGCGCCTATTCAAACAGTACAATTCATAGATGCCTGTATTTGCATTTTGGAGGAAAATCTCAGGCCCATTTAGCGAGAGATACAGCCTTGGTGACAGTCATTTGCCTCATTTTGCAAGGTTTTCTTTCGCCCTGGTAATTTGCCGGATGGTGCTTTCCATAATCATAACATGCATTTACTCGAGGTTCTGTTTCCTTCTAAAAAAATTCAAGCCTTTTTGTTTTGAGTGGTTGAATTTTACCGAGAGATTCCTTAGTGTGAGGTTGTTTATCCTGTTTTTCCAGTGTAATGAGTAGTTTGGCCCTTGAATTAAGTTGGGTTGTTTCCAATAACTACTCTCTGTCTGTTGCTTATATTGTGAAAACTTGAAATTAGGTGCTACAGACGGTTTATTTTGTAAAATTCTAAACAGCAATGTAACTGTTGAATAGGTCATCTATTTTGTTATTAATGCATGAAAGTTATATCTTGCTGCCCATTATGCTATATGTATGGATGGAATTTTAGTATTCTAATGTGAGTTACACAATTGTTCAAATTTTGTTGATGTATGCATAATCCATGTTATGACATTTCTTTATGCAAAAATCATTATGAAGATCTGAAACCTAGGATATGGACAAAAAGGGATACTTGCTTCAAACGAAATCACTTTCCAGTTATAATTCCAAAGCAACTAGCATCTGTGGTGCTTCTTGTTTCTTGTATTTTATGGTGTGTTACGTTTGTAATATGTTATACTTCTATGTCAGGATTTGTTCCTTTTACTTGCGATGAATACCCAATTATTTTATTTAGAAGTACCTGCCATGCCTGATTTGAGACATGAGAAGGATTAGGAAGAGCAGTTGGAGCATTAGAGAGAAGCAATTGATTCTAGTTAGAGACATTACAGGAGGGGCTGGGGACAGAGGAAAACCAAGCCACTAAAATCTCTACAAACCACTTGCCTCGAATATCATCTACATTTTTCATAATCTCAATTTAGTGTATAATAATAATACATAAGCTTAATTCTTATAATCTCCCTAGCTATGCCCTCATCTGCAAGGAAACCCTCTTTTCTCCCACTTGTGGATCAATCAAACATGTTAGATATATAGCGGTTCTCTTTCTGTCAAAGGCGGCTGCCACACATATAATTGAGGTCGGACCCATTTTAGTATCAAAAACTTTCACCCCTTGATTGATCATCACAGATTAGACATTGTCATCTTTTCTGTTTACTTCTATTTCTCCTGGATTGGGTTTGCAGGTGTGCAGCATGAAGTTACATCCTGATACAGCCTCTCCCACTGTAACATAGATCCATTCCTGACCAATTTTCTCGATGAACTTGGATTTCTCAAGCTTCTTAATCACCTCGCTTCGAGGGTTTGCTAATACAAGCTGATAGATCAAAAGAAAGAAGGAGAAGAATATAAAATATAAGCACATGATCAAACAAATATATGAACTAAACTGCCCAACAACAGTAAACCATAGTCCATTATAAAAGCTTGAAAGAGTCAGAAGTGAAATGCAGTTTCATACCTTGAGACCCTTTATGTCAACATTTTTCTTGGTCTCTTCAAGCATGCTGATCCCACTGGTATCAATGCTGCCTACAGCTGTAATTTGATTTTAATTTTAGCAACAGAGAAATTATAAAGGACAGTGCAGGAGATAAATTTCAATTTGTGACTGCTGCAGAATGATCACTTACTGCTAAGGTCTAGTATAACATAGTGTAAGCTTGTTTCCCCAGAAGATTTTAGCTTGTCTTCCTCCTCATATATCCATCTTGAGATCCTGAGAACCAAGATTTTAAGCAAAGGTTAATACTCTACAATGCTTGACGATAATATGTTTTTCGTAAATTTCTTTTCATAATTGTGCACTTCAAGTTTACCTTTCCCTTAAATAGTTTGCATTGGCAAAATAGATGGGTGCATCAATTTGAAGAATGAGAATTCCTGGAATGTTGTTTGCATCTGGGTATTGATCAATGCTTCTGTAAATCGATGAGTTTGGAATGTTGCCTAAAGTAAAAGTCCTTGGCCTAGCTACAAATAGCAGCACCCTTAGCATGGAAACTGTAACCTGCATGACCAATATATGATTCAGAAATGTCTAAGCAACACTTTTTTCTTATGATGAAGAAAAGAAAATATGTGTCTACTTACTGCAATGACTAGGCCAATCTCAACACTGCCAAAGACAACACCAACATATGCACCTAGGCACACAATGCAGTCCACCTTGTCTACTTTCCAGAGGTGGATGACAGCTTCATAATCAATGAGGCCAAGCATGGCAGCCATTATAATAGCGGAGAGCACCACAAGTGGAGTGTAGTGGAACAATGGCGTCAAGAACAACAGTGTGAACATCACTGCAGTTGCCATTACAATATTCGACACGGCAGTCTTGCATCCTGCATTGAAGTTCACAGCAGTTCTCGAAAATGGTCCTGCAAGTGAAAATCAATCATGAATCTGGATTAGTTGTTCAGGTGACAACAAAATCCAGACAGTCTAACAAGAGAATATTTCCTATTATCTACATTTCAGAGCTGTATGTACCGGCAGTCAAGTAGCAAGAAGTGCAAGAGCCTGCAATGTTCATCATCCCGAAAGCGATCATTTCTTTGTTACCATCAATGTGGTAGTTCTTGAATGCGGCGAAACTTCTTCCAACAGCTACTCCTTCCTGCAAAGTCACCACCAAAACCCTAAAAATGTTAGCCTAAGCCCTCCCTCATTGTATTGATGGTTTGAGATGCAGTGAGTGAGTTATGAGTGAGATTTGAGGAGTTTTGGGGACTTACAGCAAGGCCTATGACACCAGTGATTATCCCAGTTTTAATGGCTGTTGTAAGATATGGTGACCCAAAGGCCAGCTCAGAAACAGATGGTGGGTTCAACCCTTTCTTAAGGTGCCCAATCTGCAAAAACAAAGCAAGCCTGTCATTATAAAAATAAATAATAAAATATAAAATATAGTGTGCCTCTAATTAGCCTCAAGTGCGTTATACATATTAACAATACTATTTATATCATATTTACAAACGATTATCAATACGTTCAGTAAATATGGTACAAATAGCAGCACTATACATATATGTTAGATGGTGGAGACTGAGATACTTACTACTTGAACGCCATGTTTTTCAGCATGGGTTACATAAACCAAAATGCTTCCCAGGATCACAGAGCACAGTGGGGCCATTGCGTTTATCCAAAAGAAGGCTGGTCTTCTCTTGCTCTAATTGTCATCAACATAAATTCATCACCATAAGTACTGGAACTATAGCAATGCCAATCTCAACATAAAAAAATGTCATTCCTAAGTCCACAAAATAATAAAATAAACGAGTATGAGGATGGGAATGGTAATGGTAATAGTTCCCTGAATCTTGTTTGGGAATGGAATAATTGGAATTCCACCCAATCCCACCTTATTTGATATTTTTATTGCATGTCATAAAATTTGGAATTTTTTGAATTTTTTTAAATTAAAAAAATTAAATTAAATTAAAAAATAAAACGCCAACTGGGTATGTCATAGTTTAAAAGAATTAAACTTCATTTAAATTTTAATTATTTCGCTAATATCTTTCGTTGAAAAAAAGTTACGCAAGGGAAGGTAAAGATAGGGACAACTCACTATAAGTTTCTTTAATTTTTTACTTTCTCCATGGCTCTAACTTTTGTTTTGAAAAAAAATCTATACCATTTATAAATGCCAAATTCACTAAAATTGTGAAGCATCGAAATTTAAGTCGTGACAGTTGCATTTTTTTTCTTTCTAATTTTGTATCATTATGTTATTAGATTATAAATTTGAATCATTGATGCAGCTTATTGTCTAAAGTGTGACATACATATTCAAACTCTCTCACGTAATCATTTTCAACTTTTATGTGTCCGAAGAGGTCACAAATATAATCCCTTATATTGTGAAAACAAAGTAATTCAACAAGAATCATATATATATATATATATATCCTTAGAAAGCGTTCTTTCGATGGATTCAACAAACTTTTTTTTGACTCAAGAGATCGAGTTAATTGCATGGTTGAAACAAAAGTAATTATAATTGGCGTTGGTGGTGTGTTGACGTTTTATTAGTTTTGACAGCAACAAGTGGGTAAAAACGACATGCATGAAAAGTAATTATAATTCCTTAATTCTTCCCCAAGTTTAAGATATTATAATTACACTCTCCAAATCATTAGAGCAAAGCAATTTAAGCAAACACCATGGAGTGCCATCTACTTACAAAGTATCTTGTGAGCAGGAGAAAGAAGAGGAAACAGCATCCCAGCACAGCACTTTCCCACCTCCACTGCATAATAACCCAGCCTCCATGATATAATATTTTAATGTACAAAAAGGCAAACATATATAAAAAGGTGACAAGTTTTTAGATTAGATTAGATTAAAAAGAGAAATTGTATACCTGGTGCACTTGGGAAAAGATAGATTTCATGACAGATATAAGATCAGTCTCATGAGTGAAGTGAACCAATCCAAGTACCCCTTTAAGCTGCTGAAGACAGACAACAGTGGCTGCTCCACCCATGAAACCCACTATTGTTGCATGGGACAGAAAGTCCACGACAAACCCAAGTCTGCAAATATACAACATATATACATACAAAACATCATTTCAGAAATTAAAGAGAGGGTGCTTCTTGCTTGGTCTTTTTTTTATTATCAAATCCTAATGTATACCTTAAGAGGCCAAGAGAAGCCTGAAAAGCTCCAGCAAAGAAGGTAGATGTGAGAGCCAGCTGAACATAGAGCTTAGGGTTCTCAGTAGGGCTAACCACCTTCCCCAACATAGAAGATATGAGAAGCGATGCAACCGCCACGGTACCAACTGCCAAATCCTTTGAGCTTCCCAGCATGGCATACACCAATGGAGGCACAAAACTTGAATCTGCATTTATTTTCGAAAAAAATAATTTCACATTCGTCTTTTGAAAACAAAAGAGTTTGGTAAGATACTTATGATGTTACACTGTGAATCCGAATCATCATTCAGATTGATTCTTGCTTGAATGTATGACTCAGATTCACAATTGAACAACGTAAGTATTTGTCTGAAAAGAAAACATTGCCCTATAATATATGCATATATATAGCGTATGATATTTGATTTCACATAGATCTGGATACTTACATAGGCCAAGAATTGGGGGCAGGTTGGCCAAGTTTGCATAGCTTATCCCTTGAGGAACTGCAAGACTGGCAATGGTGATTCCGGCAATGAGATCAGATTTGAAGAAGTCAAAGGTGTAGCGAGGAGCCCATTCGAGGATGGGCACAA